GACACAAATTTCCACCGTCACTAATGCTCCTTTCATTCAAAACTCGAATCGAATAGCTTCCACTGTTGACCGCAACCGCAAGTGTTCCAAGCGTATTTTTTCAACTCCTGCAATATTCAAGGCAACGTCCAAGCTTTTTGGCTCGCTGGGCTGCTCTGATGACAAAAACTGAATTGACTTTTCCGGCATTTTCATCAAGATTTGTAGATTTTGCAGTTCAATTCTGCTTTCGCTGTAAGTTTTCATTCCACGAGAAGCGACGCTCGAGTCAAGTTTGACAGTGGCGTGATTTTCCTGGACCAAGCACAGTTCTTTGCCACGCATAGCAGCCAATGAGGCTGCTTCATTTTGTATGGACAATAGATTACATCAAATGGCTTTTTTCGTGTTCGCCAAAGTGGGCAAAGGCTGGCTTTCGAGTTAAGATTTCGAAATAAAAAAAGCTTTATCTCTAGCTAGTAGTTTGTTTCGTCATTATATGAAACAAATAGATTCCATGTTGCCGTGCGTCTGTTCAGTAATAGATCTCAGAAGACGTCAAAATGTGGTAAGAACATCAGTGACACACTCGGCTATCGCCTCGTGTGCCACTTTTTTGTTCTTACCACATTTTGACGTCATCGTGATCTATTACTGAACAGACGCACGGCAACATGGAATCTATTTGTTAATTAAGGATTTATAGAAAAATAGGAATATCGGTTCGAATTCTAAGCAATTATCTCCATTACAATCTATTGGCGAATTTATGACTTCCACAAATCATTATGTTAATTTATTTGATCTTGCTTTGATCTACGATTATTCTTTTGTAAATTAACCGAGTAACTTGATTGCCACATCATAACTTTCTTTTACCGGAGCTCCGGCGGACCGATGGGCCCCCAAGCGGAGCCCCATAACTATAGAAAGAGATCTAGAGAACCACGTGCATGCATAAAAATAAAAAGCCATTCAACTCTTTTTTCATGGTCAACATGGCTAGCGGCATGGATCGCGGGCGCGTACCCCAAAGGACGACGACACCGTCGCGTAACATGGCGGCCATATTCCAGCTTATTGGTCGACCGAGTCATGCAGCCTTGGTTTGCAGGGTGCATCTATCCATGTTATGGCCTATTGCCACCTGTCAAAACAAGATATCCACTGGCTAGTATCACGTGACCATATCGCGGGCTCACGTTTAGCACGAGGTTGCGTGTTTTTTTTTATTTGGCCGCTCGCCAAGTTCTGTTTTTTTCATTGGATCGCGTGCTCGTATCATGTTAACTTGTTGTAATCAGTTAGCTGGGCAGAGTTTATTCGGAAGCCGATTATCACTAACCTGGGATTAAAAGTTAACCAAAGGATATCTTTCTTTTGTAAAAAATTTTTTTTCACTGCTTGTGTTTTGTGTTGTTTGAGATTATTCAATTAAGTCAGAAGGCCAAACAATATAAACAGAGAACCTCTCGCAAAGCTAACAAAACACTCAAATCAAAATCAAAATTTCACTAAAATGAAATCAAAATTTCGCTTATCCTGGGTTACCTTAATCAGGCTTTGAACAACCCGGCCCAGGAGCTTCGTTGTTAGGCTTGGCTGAGTCTATATGTTATGTTCATGATAACAGTTATTATTGTTTTAGTTTCTTTGCAACACTGTATGTATCAGTATGGACATGCAAATGAGAGACCTTGTTGTTAAAGTCGAGGGGGTTCGCGAACCCTCAGGTTAGAATCACTCAAAAAACACCAGCTTCTATTGTTCCTCGTGTTTTGTGTTACACTTTAGTCAATTTGGATCACTCGGGGTAAAAAATAGGAACTATAGGATGTAGCTTTTCTATCTCTTCCTTGCTTCACAGCTACCCATTCAACAAACACGCGATTCTTCCTTGCTTCCTCTGAAGTCAAACGGAGGTTTACCATCTCTGCTTGAGTACGGATAATATCTCTGCAAACGCTCTTTGGTTACAAGCTTAGGATCAAAAGCACCTTGTGTTGACGACCAAACCCAGTTTAGAAGGCTCTCAATAGTTTGGAAAACCTGCTGTGAGCTGTGCGTGTCGTAACTCCTGGTGACATGGAATCCGGCGAAGGAACAGTGTTGCTCCATCTTGGGCCTCTCTTCGCAATGAAACATCTCAAAAATTCCCTCAGCGTTCTCGGGATTGAGTTCCTTAAAAGCGTTGGATAAAAGAGGGGGAAGATGATCAATGTAGTTGATGGCTATTTTCCCTCCACTCTTTTAAACATATTCTTGAAGACTTCTTGTTTGTCAGGGATCCAGTGGATGACATAATTGCAGAAAATATTGTAGTATGACTCAGATTCAATCCCTGGGAAGTTTGAAGCGTTTCCTTCCACAAATGAGAGATTCTTGACATCACCGTAAGAGCGCTGAGCCAGTAGAAGTCGTTCCTTGTCAGGGTCAACAGCTACAACCTTTCCCTCGGGTCGTACAAGCTCAGCCAGATATGCAGACAGCTCTCCTGTACCGCAACCTAAATCCAAGATGGTGTTTCCAGCTTGAGGAGCAACTTTCGTTTCAATGAACATTTTACCGTCCACCATTTGAACGGAGAGTGACCTCTGTTTGCAGCCTAGTTCTGCATCGTAGCTGAATAAATTTGCCATCTTTTGAGGATTTAGTTCAGGAGTCTTGTTTTTTTGAGTTCGCTCTCCGTTCAAATGGTGGACTCGGCTCAAATTGAACATATAGTTATATAAGCTCTATCATTGCGTTTTCTATAGTTTCTTTTCTGTCTTACCTTTCTTTTGTACCTGAATAATGTGAATAAAGATTGTTGTTGTTGTTGTTGTTGTTGGACACGTACAATGTACCTGAGGCGTCACTGAGTACTTTTATACTTGTGTTAATGCTTATGTCGCTATTGTATCCACTGGGGACATGTTGGCATAAGCATAAGCATAAGCATAAGCATAAGCATAAGCATAAGCATAAGCATAAGCATAAGCATAAGCATAAGCATAAGAAGAATGCTTATGCTTATGCTTATGCTTATGCTCATGCCTATGTCGCTGTTCTCCCTACTATCACATAAGCTTTTTATGCTTATGTTTATGCTTATGCTTGCTTCGCAAGTTAGGACCTGGCCTTAATCGTGCAATTCACTTCTTTGACATGCAAAAAGTTTGCACACAATCATCGTTTTATTTCACCACCTAAAACTTGTCAAAACCCAGTATTTTTTAATTCATTCGCCCCTGGTTGCGGGGGTTGATCAGACGATAGAGCAGTTGCGAGCAGAGGTTTCCACTCGTCTCTCACTAAGCAGGAAGAGAGGGCCAAATCTCTGTCTCGCAGGGTAGTTCTATGCGCGACAAATTATTCTAATTAGCGCCTTTCAAGTTGCAGACCTTGAAATTGAATACATCAAATGACTCCAAAAATCAATTCCTAACAAATTAAGTAAAGCGTACGCAGAGTTGCAAGCAGAAGCTCTCTCGTCTTCGGCAAAGAGCAGAAAGTAAAGTTAAGCGAGCCTCTGCCATCGTAGAGTAACTAGAAACCTGAAGTTTTTGAAATCTCAGGGCAGCTCAGAATCCTCTACGGGCTCTAAGATTTTTGTTAAAACCTTTCAGACCTTTCACGAAATTACATTCGCTTGCTGACCACTAATTAATGATCAAAAATAGGGTCACTGAGTTTGCCTTTTACAGTTAAAAGTACTTTCAGCTTATATTGTCGTTTAGTGGCAGGAGTTAATTAGTGGGCTACCGTAGTGTTACTGATTAGGCCGCAGGCTAGATAATACAGACACTTTGTCTGGAGCTTGCACTTTGCAAAGAGAGAATGCATGTCTGTCTTAACTTTGGCAAGTTAGACGAATCACTTTATCACCTTGTATACGATGTAAATATGTTTGATTTGCTACAGCCGAAGCAGATTTATTTTCATGTTTACCACTCAAAATGAGAGCAGCTGGCACGTGTACTTGTTGCAGCGAAACCTATATACCTTTTTGAAATTGTGCTGAGAGGTTTTAGTTTGGTGAGGGGACTCTTCTCGCGAAAGCTTTATGAACTGGCAAAATATGCGCGAGTATAAGGCGAGGTCTAGTTTGACCCAAAAACGCGCAAAATTTTCCTTGTTGAAACTGAGGGTGTATGGTGCTGCTAATGAGGTTTCTAAAGATAAGGAAACCGAAGAAAAGTTAAAGACTGCGTTCGTGAATTTAACTACGTGATGAAAATTGGAAATAATGACTGATAACATTTTTTTAAATATTTCTACACGTCAAACCTTAAAGAAAGAACAATACTGCTGTTCTGTTTGTGTTCGTTTTTTATCCATCATCAAATCACCGTGCTGACAGCGGCGAAAACCACTCATGTCCAATACTGTCGAGTAGATTCCATCGGAAAAGAGAACTTTCTATTCGTTGTCGATCGGAAAGTTGCATCTCATTAGCTATTAGCTGGATATAAAGCCTGTCGGATCGATCGATTCGATCGATTCGTCGAATGGACACGACCCGAAACCTGGATGTTGTCGATCGGAAAATCGCATCTCATTAGTGACAACAGACCCGGCGGTCCAACG